CCCATTGGCCATTGAGCGCTGACGTCTTGAGTTTGTTGCGAGTTTAGGTAGAGAGAGATGTTGCATCAAAAGCTGACCGGGGGGTGTGTTGTCCTGACCCATTGGGCATTGAGCACTGGCAACTTGTGCTTCTTGCAAGTTTAAATCCATTCAGATTTCGGGCTCTTGCAAGTTTAACTTTGTTCAGATTTAAGTTTCTTATTCTCAGATTTAAGTTTGAATCTAGCAAACTACCGTCCCTGGCCTCCTCTCCCCTTCGGTTGCCCGGCGGGGTTCCCTATGAGACGCAGGCGAAGCAGCCTTCGAAGAGGCGATGCGGCTTGTCCTCAACTGGGCTTGCCGGAGAAGGGAAGCTGTGGGCGGGCTGTTGCTCGGCCGACCAAGTGTGGGTGTGGCGCCTGGCTCCCTAATCCGGCCTTATAGCTGGCCGAACGGACCTTTTTTCCGGGCCGGCCCATGAACACGCGTACTCAGCATTAAAGGGCTGGAAGCTCCTATACCGCGCCTTCAGCGCCCCGCAAGAGAAGTGGCGCCCGCAGCAGCCGCTGGATGGGCCGGCCCACGATCACGCAACAAGCAACGCGAAAAAATGACCGGCAAAAATACCAGCGCGAGAGCTTTAAAGAATAGGAATGTAGACACGTTATTTATTGCGCATTACACTGTAGCGTTTATATTTTCCAATTATTTGAAAATATCTTCACATATTACAAATGGAGTTCATGAGCATGCAAAAAAAAGTTCGCATATTCAAAAAGTAGTTCACCAACTCGAAAAAGTTCATGTATTCAAAAACAGTTCATGGATTCAAAAGAAGTTCATCGATTTTGAAAAAAGTTCATCGAATTTGAAAAAAAGTTTATCAATTTGAAAAAAGTTCATCGAATTTGGAAAAAGTTCACCTAAATTGAAAAAAGTTCATCGATTTTGAAAACAAGTTCATGTAAATTGAAAAAAGTTCAGCGATTTTGAAAATAAGTTCATCGATTTTGAGAAAAAATTCATCGATTTTGAAAACAAGTTCATGTAAATTGAAAAAAGTTCATCAATTTTGAAAATAAGTTCATCGATTTTGAGAAAAAGTTCATCGATTTTGCAAAAAAAGTTCATCAATTTTAAGAAAAAGATCAGAAAATTGTAAAAAGTTCATAAATTTGAAAAATAAGTTCCCCTATTCTAAAAATGGTTCATCAATTTGAAAAAAAATTCACGAGTTTCAAAAAATTCAGGTCATGGATTTAGAGAAAGAAGTTCATCTATTTGAAGAAAAAAATTACGAATTTCAAAAAAAGAAAGTAAAAAAAGATAGAGAAAAAAGGAAAAGGAAAAAGAAGAACAAATAAAGGGACCTAAACATGTATGCTACCACATCTGGTGAAGTGGTCGAGTTGGTTATACCTAGATACCTCGATGCCTGAAAACCCGCGATGCAGGTTCGAATCCTAGTTTGCGTGGCTTTTTTACAGTTTTATATAGAGTTTAAAAAACAGGAATAGTGGAAGTTGGGCCGAGCCCAGGTTGCGCCGCTGCAGGCGCCGGTTTGCGGAAACAGCTATAACCCGCGCCTGCAGCGCCAAATAGGAAATCCCTAAGGGCATGTACAATGGTTCTATCTTAAGGGTGCTACGTAGGATACATGATGAGGTGGACGAGAGAGAAATCATAAGAGAAGGCTTGTCTTCTCTTATTTAAGAGAAGACAAGAGATGATCTCTTAGCACAATTTGTCTCACCATATTTTTAGGAACAACTAATTATTGAAGATAAGGCTAAGAGATGACCCATTGTAGACATATTTTTTTTGTCATCTCTAATTTACATGCAAAACTTAAGATAAGACTATCTTATCAACCATTGTACATGCCCTAAAGGGCTTGGCCCGGTACATGACTAAGCAGACCGTGTGTGGCCCATGGCACGACGGCCCAGATGTGAGGCCCGTGGGCTGGCACAATATAGCCCGTTTATTATTTTCAGACTTTTTTTATCAAGTTATTGGCCCAAAAACAGTCCAAAAGGCCGAAAAGCACACAGGCCGACCGGCCAGGTGTCGTGCCAGGCCGGCCTCCGCTAAGGTGGGCATGGCACAGCCCACTTATCAACAGGCCGCCAACTATGGTGCTAATCCACCAACTATGGTTGCGGAGCTGATTGATAGCACATCGGCAACATGGAACGAACAACTAATCAGATCCACCTTCTTACCTTTTGATGCTGATACTATCATGTCTTTACCACTTTGCACCCGGGTGATTGAGGACTTCTAGGCATGGTCTGCAGAGAGGAATGGACAATTCAGTGTCAGATCAGCTTATAGAATGGTAATGAACACAAGGGAGCATCGGGTGAATTGGTTGGAAGAAATTTCAGGGGCTTCTTCGTTGGAAGCTAGCAGTAAGGCGTGGACTGATCTTTGGCATATCAAAGTACCATCGAAGCTTCGGGTTTTTCTTTGGCGTCTGGCACGGCAGTTGATCCCCTCGATGGATCTCCTTCATCACCGAAATATGTCGACAACAAAGGCGTGTACCTTATGTGGGAGGGACGATTCTTGGAGACATGCACTACTAGATTGTACCATGTCAAGATGCATATGGGTTTTGTCTGAGGAGGGTCTTGTGGAGCAGATGAGCATTAATAATGAGCCAAATGCTAGGAACTGGCTTTTTGCACTGCATGATAAGCTTTCACAGCAGGATTTTGTGCTAATGGTGGTCTCCTTATGGGCGGTTTGGAGAGCCAGACGGAAAGCGATCTATGAAGATGTCTTCCAGAGTCCACAAGCTACTAACAGCTTCATTCGATCTTACATAGCAGACTTGAAAGCCCTCGAAAGACCAGCAAGGGACGATCCAGGGAGACCTGTTCATCGCCCGCGTCAATGGATCAAGCCTCCGGCGTTGTCTTTCAAGATAAACGTTGACGCTGCCGTGTCGCAGAATAGAGGACGAGGAGTTGCGGCCGCTTTATGCCGGGATCACAATGGAGTTTTTCAGGGAGCATCGGTCATTGTTATCAAGGGAGTACATGACCCTCCCACTCTTGAAGCTTTATCGATCCGTGAAGCTCTGGCCCTTGCTGAAGACCTAAACTTGCAGAGACTACATGTGGCATCGGACTGCCAGGTTGTAGTGGACGACATCAAGAATAGAAGCCCGAGAAGTTATGGAGCAATTCTACATGAAATCATAGAGCTTAGTTCTACTTTTGAAGCTTGTAGTTTTGTGCATGAATATAGGAGCTCGAATTTCGAGGCTCACATGCTAGCGAGGCATGTTTTAAAGTTGAGGGTTGGCCGCCATGTTTGATTAGGTAACCCCGGTAATCTGTCATTTGTGGATGTAAACATTGATCACAATTAATAAAAAAGCCTCGTGGACTGTCTAAAAAAAAACTTATCAACAGGCCGCCGCGAGCCGTGCCCGACCCGGGCTAGACTGTTGCCCACCTTTGAGTGGCCTCCCTCAAAAATTAAAATATCTATGAGTGGCCTCTAGAGGGAGAGTACCGTGTGGAAACCAACTTCTGATAGAAACTAGTACGTTATAGTTCTGAGGTTTCAAAAAAAAACTTTAAAAAACATAATATGTTTTCTTAACACAGTACAATCGTAGATGCTTACAAACACACATATGCATTCAGAAAATATAGTATGTTAAGAGTGTGATGTTGTATTAGCATGTGAAATTTCAAGTTCAAACATAAATTCTTTACAAGGTAAAAACAAAATCAACATTGAATAGTGGCAGAAAACATCACTATTCATTGCTGATTTTATTGACCATTGTTTTGATCGTTTCATTTTTTTCCTCGCTTAGGCATAGCTTGGGTCTTGTATGACTTTGATTTTTGCGGTCGTATTTTTTTCTTTTGTGTGTGTTAGTGTTGGCCGTGTGCATTTTAGTTATGCAGAGGCCGGATGTGTGCTCATTGTGTTTGTATCCCCGTGATGCTTTATTTTCAATAAATCCATCCTTTGTTGAAATAATCCGCTTCATTTTCAATAAAATTCACCCTTAATAAAAAAAACCTCATCCTTTCATCACATCCGCTGCGTGTTGCTGGACCTAGATCGGAAAGTGAAACGTCTTGTGCAAAGCAGTTACGTTGTAATTATTGGGTTGTGAATCTCACACGCCCGCGCTCACCCAGCTCGCCATCTCGCTTGACCATTTGCCTATCTCCATACCTTTCAATTTTTCTCACCCAAAGGTGTGAATTACTTGCAAAAGCATAATGAATGTCCACAGCATTTTACTCCACATTTACACTTGCAAAATTTAAAGTCAAAACATGGCTACACATGTTCTATACAGGAGAACATTTTAGTACAGCCTAAATACACTATTTTTTTTTTGAAACGGACAAACATTCACAGTTTGATCTATTTGTACACAACAAATGAGGATAATTTTGCTCAGTTTTGCAAGTGCATCAACTATAGCATGGTAAACATCAATGATTTTTTTTTTGTCCATATGGAGATAAGCATTTACATACAGGCACCAAGAGTAGCATTCGCAAGAAACTTGGGAAACATCAAAGCATCAAACCATCGGCAATGCAAGCAGCACGAAAACGTTGATACAGGAAGGTTATGAGCAAAACATACAGTGTTTGATATTGGTAATTAAGCTAGTTCTGAATATTAAGGCATGCAGTTTGAACCGGGTTAAAGGCTGATGGTGATTTCTATCAACAGGCAAAATACGCATGTAGATGCGACCAGAACACGCAACCTTTCTGAGGTGATTCTACAACAAAGGTGAGTTTCTGAATGCGAGAAAAAAAAACAAGTGAGTCTTGTTGCCGCTAGTAGTGCCCCTGTTCTGGGGAAGGTCAAGCAGATCCATCCCCTATCCATTCTTTGTGAATCTGAAACTTAAACGATGTTGGGTATAACTTACAGGTGAAGGAACGGTTGTGACAAACGACGTCTGTGATGCTGAAATAGCTTTGCCAGATAAAGTACCTATGGCATGCAAAGAATATATGAAGTCATCATCTTCTCCTTGGAGCAGCAATTGGCACCCTTTGTGCTGGAGCTTGACCCTGCCCTCCAGCTTGCTCCTCCGGTATGTTTGCTGCTGCTGTGACGGCGTTCATGACAATGAGACCAAGAGGAATGATGTACATCCACTGCAAAGCAGGAAGCAGCGGTCAGATTCAAGGAAAAGGATACGAAAGTCATGCAGACACCAACGAAAAAAATCGAACAATATACACGTGGTATTTATAGCTGTACTCACATATTTAGCCCAGAAAGATTTCTCAGGTGGTTTCATCACTTCACCGAGTCCACTTTCAGTTTCTATTAATTGCTCTACAAATGATGGAGTTCTGCAAGTGCACAACTTAGTTAGAACAAGGAACCAGGTGTCATTCGAGAGAGGATAGGTTTGACACTGTTCTTTAGCAACAGGTTTGTTACTGGAAAAAGGTCACTAAGATAAATGTGAACTGCCACCTCTCTGGTGCTCTGCATATTATTTTTGGCTTAACCTCGATAAGGCAGAGATTTACCTTGGTGCTTGGTCAGCAGTCTTCAGAATAGTGTATGAATTGAATGTCCATTTTGATGGCTGGAACAAGAATTTCAGTATTGTAAATAGAAGCATTATCTTTCATCAGCAGACAGACACGGTATACTTAACGGGTGAAACATCAACATGCATCCTTCTGTCATGTTATTTTACCATAATTGCAGGAGTTTAATTTAGGAAGTATAACCCTCGAAGTTTATATGTTTATAGTATGTGCGTGCATTTTGCTGGTACGGTACAGTTAAAAGGTTATAGGTTATTACTATCAATTATTCACCACATGCAACTCCATAAACAAGGTTTCAAGCAAGACAACTTACTACTTTCATTGGCCGGGGATATTGGCATCCACCAACGGAACCATAATTAACAGCCAAAATATTTACACCGTCCTGCAAATGACACAGCAAAGCCTAATGTGAGCCAAATACCAAAGAGACATTCATCTATAGAAAGTGAACATTCCTTCAAACATTTCATCCTGTGAAAGACAGTATTATTGTACTACAGTACCGATTTATCACCTAGAAAATATACCATTAAAGGTTTCATGCTACATGCTAGGTACAAGTGACTCTTTCTAGCAAATAAGCAACGGCCGACAAAGCCATCTGTCATTCTAAATATGAAACATGGGAACTTCCAATTTGGACGTGGAGTTCTGCTAAGGAAGAACATATATGTAACATAATAAAACCAGGACGAAAGTTGCGTGCTTCAGAGCTAAAAAATACTCAGGTTAACCAACTCTATTGAATATGCATTCCTAGTGCCACATGATTAAACTGTACAATGTTACAGGCTGATTTGTGGTGGTGCAAAGGTGGGGGTTGTACAGGAAAATGTGCCTTTGTACGGGATCGGAAAGGGTAGGTAGCTTGATAACTCATGCTCACCCTCCATGCACAAGTGGCAAAGAGGTTCTGACATGCAGCTTCATTAGATAAGGAAATTCTTAGATTGATGCTGAAAATTACATTAGGGCTCCTTCTAAAAACAGGTAGTTATAACTAGAAGGGCTCCTAAAAACAGGTAGTTATAACTAGAAGGGCTCCTAAAAACAGGTAGTTATAACTAGAAGTTAACATATAAGGGGCTGCTTCTAAAGATAGGCAGTCATATACTCATATCCAAAAGGGAACAGAAACTGCTAGCTGATTTTAATAACTAAAATGTACTCCCTCTGTACAGTAATGTAAGACGTTTTTGCAGAACGTCTTACATTATCAGGGAAGGAACCTTAACCGCCAGGAACACCAATAGATATTTCTAAATACGTATACTGAAGGCATACTTAACCATCTCTAACACAATCTCTAATTTAAGACGTTTTTGCAGTTCAAATTGAACTGCAAAAAAGTCTTATGTTAGTGTACAGAGGTAGTATCAGGAAAGGATAAATAGCATCCTTAAGCTCAAGGAACACCAATAGATATTTCTAAATACGTATACTGAAGGAATACCTAACCATCTCTAACACAATCTCCTAACGAAAATTGAATATAGTCTACCCCAATGCCTTCTGAACTAAACCATCACTGGTGTGCTATCCTAGCTGCCATTTTCCGTGGATCAGCAGCAAAGATAGATGGGGCTATAGGAAAGGTCCACGACAATCAAACAGCATCCCACCCTATCTTGTTAGTTATACAGAAAATGTAATTATGAACCCACGAAAATGTTGACAGTATTTTAAGATGTATCAATTATACACAATGAAGTAAGCTCTACAGGAGAAGATACAAGTAGCAGTTAAGAAATCGAGAGAATTACCATGTGGATGACAATATGTTCATCCAAGCTGTCACGTGGAATGCATCTCTGAACATAGAAAAAATACACAGTTCAGCGACTGAAAACACAACTCTAGAATCACAATAATTCCTAACATAAACCATTTCATATCTGCAATTTATGCGTCTTTCATAAGCTTGAAAGTGGCCATTGCTTCATGGTAATTTTAAATCAGTATAGTTGTTGATTCTGTTGTAATAAATCTCATTCACAATAATATTGGAGTATATCTGGTGAATCTATCTTATGATCCAGCAAGCCATAATGATAGGTTGGAGAGAAACAAAATGAAGTTAGCCAACTAATCAACTTACCGCTTTGATTGAGGAATAAATATAATCGTTTCTTGTAGGATCCAACACATTAGACGGTAGCCTTATTGTGTAAAAACTATCTTCTTCCAGTAATTTCTGCAATGATAAAATTAAAATACAGAAGCACCAGATAAGTTGGTATATAGAAAAATAATGAAATCAGGAAATAATGGAGAAAAGAAAGAACCTTAAATGCATTCTTTTCATCCTCAGTCAACTCATTCCTCGTAAATCGGAGCTTAGTAAGAGTCTGGTTCAGAAAATGAGTGGAGTCAATTAAGATAAAATTCTCCTCGCTTGAGTATAAATAGTTAAAGAAAGAACATATAGGAAACTAACATATGGTTAACTTTACTACTTGAGGGCAGCATTGACATTGGTGATTATTCAATGAGACAACTAGTTAAATACTACTCCCTCCGTTCCTAAATATAAGTCTTTGTAGAAATTTCACTATGGACCACATACGGATGTATGTAGATGCATTTTAGAGTGTAGATTCACTCATGTTGCTTCGTATGTAGTCCATGATGGAATCTCTGCAAAGACTTATATTTAGGAAAGGAGGGAGTAGAATACAAGCAAACGAAGCCAAGATAATTCTGAAGCAAAAGTAAATTCCTTCTTATGACTTCTAATCTAGACACCCTGCGGGAGCATGCAGAAGTCGGCAAGGTACAGCAGCATGTTGTGCTCGGCAAGACGCGTGGCCTGGGAGGTGACGAGTGGCAAGAGCGTGGTGGGTACACAGCGCGAGGCGATATGGACGACAAGGGGGGCAATAGGGAGAGGGAGGCGAGGAGGACGCAGAAGCGCGGGAGAGAGCATGTCAGAGGAGAGAGGGGTGGCAGTGGCGAGCACGGGGTCCACCTCACCCTTTTCCTCCTCGACCGAGCACCGCCACAAGGCCATGGTGTAATCACGCCAGGTGCCTAGCTGCAGCACTGCGACTGATATGTGGGTCCACTTCTGCTCAGGTGTTTTGCTGAAAAAATAACTAGTGTACAAATGAGGGGTGTCTTTTCAGGTGCCATTTAACACTCTCTGCTGGAAAAACAGATGGAAATGTCACACTAGGAACAAAATTCACACCTGGTGTCAAAAGAATACCAAACAGGGAAGCACATTTTTAAAAGGGCCAGATAAGGAATTATCTCCATATAATACCCTTGCCAAGCTAGCATATCTAGGCAAGAGAATACTAGCTATCAGTCATGGGTTATCTAGGCAAATCCCTTCTTTGGATATTTTGCCAAGAGAAACCAATGACCAATAGATCATGTGCTAACTGACACTTTGCTCTATTCTGAAAAGAATAGACTGATGTTTGCTCTCGAGGGAACGCCAATTCTGATCTCATCCCTTGTGACCAAACTGTATCTCTTTGCCTAGCAAAGCCAGATTTTATTGTGCTAACAATCAAACACCCAATGCTTCGTCACGCAAGGCTACAAGTACTTTGGATCAAAATGCGCACCCTTTGTTGCTTGCGGTTCTGTCACCTCACCTCGTAGTTATTCTCTATATGGCAATATGTGAGTAAGCAATGTAGAAAGATTCCATATTCTTGCAAAGGATGTGACAACTGATTTCTGTGACCAGACAGAGTGTGTCATGCCACTGTTGGGCACCAAAAATGAAATGGTAAAGCTCATAATCATTTATCAACCTTATCAGCACTACCAACGGGGTAGCAACTACTTTGCTAAACCAACCAAACAACAAAACTGAACCGTCCTGATGTATACACACACACGTCAAACAAATAGCAGATGATCTGGAAGAACAAACTAACCAGATCCGATCTATAGTTCACCTTCCCTAACAATTCGAACCACACAATTCACTGTCTCCAAACCAAACGGCTACAAACTACTGATGGGGGGACGAACTCAACCAAATCTACCCCCTAGCAGGGTCCAATCACTGGCTGCCCATGGATCACGGGATCAGGAAGTAGAAAAAACAGATCAGCAAGCAACGAGAGCTACGAAGACGAGATCGAGCAACCAAATCGGGAACAAAGCTACCGATAGGATGCGAAGCAAACCTGGGAGCCGTGGGCCGAGGACTTGAGGCGGGCGGAGAAGGACCCGGCGGGGGCGAACCCTAGACCGGCTCCGAGGTCGTGCTCGAGGGTGAACTGGACGGTGTTGGACTCGGAGGCGCCGACCGCCTGCGTTGCGTCCGCGGATCGGCGGCGGGAGGACACTACCGGCGGCGTCGAGGGCGGCCGGGGCGAGGGGGTGGAGGAGGCCCGGGTGCCCTCGAACTCGTCATCGTCGTGGAGGAGCAGCTCGTCCGACTGGAAGGCGGCGGCGAGGGAGAGGAAGTGGGAGAGGAGTAGGAGGAGGAGGGGCAGGAGCATGAGGAGGGAGCGACGCCGCGCGGCCATGGCTTTGGGTGAAGAGGCTTGGACTCTGGAGGAGATCGGTGCCAGCGCCGGCCGAGGTGATGTATGCGGAGAGACGGTGATTCTCTCCTTTTTTTTTTCTGCCGATGAAGATGGTTTTCTTTTTTTAACAGCTTTATTTTAGAACATTTTGAGCAGGGCTAGCAAAAAACTCGTAGCCGCGAGCTTCGTGAACGTTTGATAATTCGGGCTCGTAGTAGCTTTTTTTTCCGCAGGATAGAATTGTATTACTCAATGATCAAGTTCTTACAATCATCACGGACAATCATCAACACCTCTTCTCGACCCGAGCCGACCCAAGTAATAGTCCGGCCCTCAACTTTAGCGAAACTAGCAAGTCTATCACTAGCTTTATTTTGGCTGCGAGGAACATGAGTAATACAAAAATTTCTAAGACTCAACATGTGCTTGATCTCTCCCATCAAAAGAGCATAAACTGAACGGTCCACCTCTTCACATGAAATCATGGATACGGCATTGCTCGAATCCATCTCAATTTCAATCGCTAGGTTCGACCGCTGAAGTGCAAAGGATATTTCTTCCATACACGCACATAGCTCCGCTTCCAGCGCATCTCTACAAGAAAACAAAGTTCTGCAAGATGAAAAAATGACCGCTCCGGCGCTGTCCCGCAGGATCATCCCAGCTCCCGCTTCTCCTGTCTCAGCAAAAGACCCATCTGTATTTAGTTTAACCCAGCGCTGCTTGGGCGGCTTCCACGGTGTGTCTTGTTTCGAAATCTTCACCTGCTGCAGCACACTATCATAGATTACACTTCCTTTCCCCTTTGCTGGATCACAATGGGTATTAACCTTGATCCCAATTAATTCATCCAGGTATCTTTGGAGGAAGCTCACTGACACAGACATGGGAGGGACGGGTTTGGCATGCATTACCTCATTGTGTATGTACCAACATCTCCAGAAGATTAGCAAGATCATGCATAGCTGATTATCATTCAGTGGTTCAAGAGCATTGAGGAGCCACTCCTTGCACGAGTTTTGAAAATAATTCAGCGCTGGAATATGCCATATTGTGGCCATCTGCTCATATAAGTCCCGTCCGAGCTGACACCTAATGAACGGGTGGAAATTGTCTTCCTCCTCCATACCACAGACCGGACATGTGCTACTCGGTTCCAACCCAATCATATGTTTATTTCTCCAAGTAGGCAGTGAGTCAATAGACAATCTCCATGCAAAATTTCGTACAGTAGGGAGAACGCTGCACTTCCATATAAATTGCCAGCACGATCTACTGCCATCCGACGACGAGCTAGATGCCTCAGATGTAGCCCTGTTAGCCTCCTCGAACGCTAAAGTATACACCGACTTGACCATAAACGCGCCAAGCTTATCTAGACCCCATGCAATGACGTTGTCCCCGAGCCTAGGGGAAGCTCGGATTTTCAGGATTTCCTCCACATCCGTTGGAATAAAAAATCGTTGAAGCACATCCAGATTCCAGGATCCATTTTCATTGAGTAGTCCAGCCACAAACCGAATACGACAACGACCCTGTTGCGACACCGGCTTGTAGGAATATGGTCTCGGGATCCAGTTATCTCTCCACACTCGAATATTACGCCCATTCCCGACTCTTCATATCAGCCCTTTCTTCAGAAGGTCAAGACCATGGGATATAGCAAGCCATGAAGAAGAAGCATTGCCTGAGAATATTGTGTCCACCAAATTGTCGATAATATCTCGCCTTCAGAACTTCTGCGCACAAGCTTTCAGGTTTCGTCAACAAACGCCACGCCTACCGAGCTAGCAAGGCTTGATTGAACATCCGGAAGACCCGGAAACCAGCACCCCCTTTGTTCTTAGGCTGAAGCAAGTGATCCCAACCTCTCCAATGGACCTTCCTCTTACCTTTGCTAGAACCCCAATAGAAGTTCCTTACCATTCGTGTCAAATCATCACACACAGAGAAAGGTGGTTTGAAAACCCCCATGATATAAGTTGGCAAAGCTTGAGCAACTGCTTTGATTAAAATCTCCCTTCCTGGTTGCGCCAAGAGGCCATCACACCCCACTGGATCAGTCGCTTTGTTAGACTAGTTTGAAGATTTTGAAACTTCCCCTTGGACATGCGCCCATCAGGGGTTGGCATGCCTAAATATTTTTCTTCAAACACCGTCGAAGTGACAGCCAGAACATCTCACACTTGCTCCTGTACTGCCCCTAGACATGCAGCACCAAAAAATATCGAGCATTTGTCGAGGTTCAAACTTTGCCCCGTAGCCCTTTCATACATGATCAAGGCTGCCTTAACATTCTCTGCTTGTTCACTAGTAGCCTCGAAGAACAATAACATATCATCAACAAATAACAAGTGTGAGATACTCGGTGCTCTTCTGCATACCTTCACTAGTGTGATACTACCTGCTGCAACCTTACTCTTTAAAATCGCCAATAACCCATCCACAATGAGCAAAAAAAGGAATGGAGACAGAGGGTCGCCTTGCCGAAGCCCACGCAACGGTGCAAATGAATCCAAGAGGGTCCCGTTTAGTTTAACACGATATCTCACCGATGTGACACAAGTCATAATCCAGTCAATCCATTGCTGAGTGAAACCCCGCTTTTTGCATCACCTGCTCCAAGGAAACCCAATGTCTTTAGCTTTCGATAGGTCTAGCTTGTATGCATAGAAACTCTTCGTGGGATCCTTCTCCTGTTTGATGTAATGTAAACATTCGAAAGCCACAAGAGCATTATCTATGATCATCCTGCCTGGCACAAAGGCACTCTGTTCTGGAGAAACAAGAGTGTCCAGGAGTGGCCTAAGACGATTCACCAAGCACTTCAAAATCACCTTATAGATTACATTACAGAGACTGATGGGCATGTAGTCAGAAATCTTTGCAGGGTTAGAAATCTTTGGGATCAGAACAATGGATGTAGAGTTTACCCCTTCCGGCATAATTCCAGTAGTAAAAAAGTCCTTCACCGCTGCAATCACGTCATCTCTGATAGTGCTCCAGTTCTGCTGAAAAAACCGCGCGGGAAAACCATCTGGCCCAGGTGCCTTTAGTGGCCCTATTTGGAACATTGTGTCCGCTATCTCCTTATCAGAAAAGGGAGCACATAGTTTATTGTTATCCACCTCAGTCACCATTGGCTCCAAGAGATCCAGAACCGGGCCTGCATCAAGAGTAGCATCCGCCAAGAAAATCTCATGAAAATATTTGTTTGCAATCTCACACATCACCGCGAATTCACTCCAACACTATCAGTTAATTGTCTGATTTTGTTTTTCCTCGCCCTCCACACCGCCTTATTCTTGAAAAACTTTGTATTCCTATCCCCCTCTTTCAGCCATGAGATCCTCGATCTTTGCAGCCACATCATTTCCTCTTGATATAGTAATTCATTCATTCTATCTGTCACCCTATGAATATCCTGCTAATCCGCATTCATGTGCATAAGCTCCTCAAGCTGGGTTCTAGATTTTGCAAGTTCCCTTGTAACATTACCGAACTTCCTCCCCCATGTGCCGAGCGAAATCATGGTCTTTGCCAGGGCATCCCGCAGATGGGCAAGATTGCGGACACCCCCCACCGCATCCCATGCCTCCTTAATCACCTCCGGCAACGTACCATCACTCTCCCAAAATAGTTCATACCTCCTCGGTTTTGCACCCGTCGGCCCTGGGTCGGCCGAGGCCTTGATCAGTAACATTATATGGTCTGAACATGGAGAAGGAATATGCGAAACAACAGAAAAAGCAAACATGTTCCTCCACATATTTGTAGCAATAGCACGATCAAGTCGAACCCATACATTATTTGCAGCAGCTCGTTTATTGTCATAGGTGAAAGGCACCCCTACGAATCCAAGATCCACCAAGCCACATACTTCCAAACAGTCCCTAAAACCAACCATTTGAGATTTTGCTCTCGGTGTCGCTGACATATGTTCAAAATCCCACATAGCCTCATTAAAAACTTCCAACACTAACCAAGGTAAGTCACTTGTTGTTTTAAGATTTTGAAGCTTTGCCCACATAAGATGTCTATTCTCGGTCCTCGGCTCTCCATATACGCAAGTAATCCTCCACTTTTCTGCGTTCTGATTTACTTGTACCTGAGCATCAATATAACGTTCATTTTTGTCCAGAATATCCACCACATAAGACTCATGCCAAAACAGAGCCAACCCACCACTCATGCCTTCACTATCCACACCACAAAACCCCTTGAGGCCGAGACGACCACGAATCCTCCTCAGCTTTTCCGCCTTTTGCCTAGTTTCACACAAAAAACCAAATTGGGGGAATGCGACTGGCAAATCGTCGCAAGCTCACGAACTGTCCGGGAATTCCCCCCTCCCCGGCAGTTCCAACTGAGTAGACTCATTGGGATCGGCGGTCCTCCAACGCGGAGGCTGCCTCATCAGACATAAGTGAATCAACTCCTTCATCATCTCCTCCCTGCTTCCTCCGATTTACTATCGGCATCTTCCCTGGTATTGCATTACTTACTCCACCACTAGCTAAAGTATTCGTAGCTGTTGCATATTCTATCTGTAAACACTACAAAAAAAGACACATCCGTGACATTTTGGGCCGAACGAATTTTTTTTTTCTGTCATACATATGACACTTCTATGACGATAATTGTGACAAAACCCGGTATCATCATAGATGTGGTGGGCTCCTACTTCTATGACAAAAAATCATGACAGAAAATGGGCTTTTCGTCCTAGGCGGGCCGGAGACGCAGCTGCATGACATTCTTTGGGCTGTCCATGACGGAAAAAACCGTGGTAGAAGCGAGGGCGAGGAAAATTTCGGGGAGTTCCCGGTTACGGTGGGTGGTCGGGGGCCGAGCGATGCGTGTTTCTCTCGTACACGTACGCGCGTGTGTGTGAGGCGTTGGCTCTAACTGAACCCGAGCGAGGCGTTGGGCTCTAATTGAACCCGAGCGATTGCACTGCAGGCTACGCGTTACTGAACCCGAGCGATCGATTCCTTCGC